AGGTATGTGTACTGGTCCACTACTGCAATCTCCTCGATCCCCCACTTCCATCTATGTTCTACTGGTTCCTCCTTGTCCTCGTTGCATACCATGACGGCACTCTTCTTAACGTTGGCAGACAATCTCCACTTATCAGTAAACTTCTTCGCCGCGTCAATTTGCAGTTGCAGTCCCTCAGGGGTGTCCGACATACCGACAAAATCATCCGCAAACAGCATTCCTGACACCGACGTTTCCGTGTCCCCTACTTTTACTCCCTTCCGGACTGCCTCAACGACTTCCAACAGATCGTTGATGAACACCTGGAACAATGTCGGGGACAGCGTGCAACCTTGTGGGACCCCCTGCTCAATGTCGAAGAATTTAGACACTTCTCCGTCTAGCATGACCGCGCTTTTCGTACACTCTGTCATCTTCGTCATTTAGCGCTCTCCACATTTTCCCCTTGATCCCGTACTTGGCCAGTTGTTTCCACGGGGAGGAAAGAAAAAAAAATATCACCTCCGCCACACGAATTTCTGCCACCGACACTCGCCCTCTGCCTTTGGAGGAGCCTCTCACGAACGGCGTTCTCTTGGCGTTGCTGCTGTGGGTAAAACTGGGGGGGAGAAGTATTATTTTTCGTTCACGAGAGGAGACACACCCGCAAGCACCCTCACCTGAAGCTCATCGTCCCACCCGAAGACAACCGCGGTGACCCCGGGCCCCGCCTCTTTGGGCAGCAGCCCCCGGTCCATCAGGAGTTCCACTATTACGGCGTCGCCGAACCCGAAGCCCGCCGCCGGCAACGCCTCGCCGCTGCGAGGAAAAACACAGAAAACACAACAGCAACCATTTCACACACATGCAGCGCAGAATTTTCTTGCGCTTCCATCTCCATTGAGTGCGGCCGTTTTCCATTGGCGAGCAGCGGGGGTCTGTGCAGCCGAAACAACCAGCCAAGAGGGAAGGCACGATAAGGCGCGTTCCACGAGGCGACCAAGCAGCGGGCGTCAAAAATAAACCACGACAAAGGCCGCGGTAACACACGCACCCACAGAAGAACAACATGCAGCCCGCAACCAACATGCAACCAGATCGAGAGCTCCCATCGCGATCGGTCTACCCAAGGGATGCTTGATAACCTCAAACGAAGCGGGCACGTCGAGCAGTTTCAGCTAACCGTGTCTGCGGGACTTGAGAAGCCCGTCGCCGGCCAACGATGGCTTGCCACGGAACAACCAGGCCTGGAAAAAGTGCCCCACAACAAGCTACACGTATCACAAGGGCCGCAAGACATTGCCACGCCGTCGGCGCATCCCTCGCCTTCTGACGGCCTCCTGGGCTCGACTGCTGCGCAAGGGAACGTCTACATGCGCTCGAAAACAAGAAATTATCTAACGCGCCCGTAAAACTCGGTCGCGAGAGGAGGATTGGCCGTGTACTTCTTTGCTAAGTCTCGAGTCGTACTGCTACTGGGAAGGGGGGGGGGGGG